AATGGCATTTTTGTAAATGGATACCCTTAAGTAGTATTCTTGCAGATATGCACGAAAAATGGCATTTTTGTAATTCTTTCTTGTTATTTTCCAATATTTTATCCTATTTAGAGACTTTAAGACAATCGAAAGAGTATCACACATTAAATATATTAGAAAATACAATGATTAACGGATTGCTACAACTCGACAATTAGAATCAATCTAGAAGATTAAACACATTTTGGGTCGGATCTATTTTTAGTTGTAAAAAGGGATCATTGAATATATATATAGAAATCTTGTTTTTGAAACAAATATCCCTGCAAATTATTCAACATTTTCAAAACAGATAGGTTACAAGTGTATTATGTTTAGTTTTCTAGTAAAAACACTATTGCTATTTAACGTAAACTTGCATGCCAATTATGCATGTGTAGTCATATGATATGATCATGCAAGATTAACTAATAATAACTTTATTAATGTATTTGACCATATAATATAAAAATCATTGCACACTATATGCTCTATAAATTAATAAACCACAATGTTTGAGGTACTTTGAATTTCGTGCATATGATTTGGTGGGGCTTTTTGTCCAACATATTCTTCCTCGTAAAATAAAATATTTCCTTTGGACATTTCCTTTACAAAAAACCACCGTTTCAGGTCCACCGTCCACCTAAATCACTATCCAAGTAATATATCCAAAAATAGTTGCTCACATAAAACTACAAATAGAAACCCTAGCTATTTCCAAATTCCCTAACATGGAGCATCAGCATATAAATTAATTTGTAATATCCACCAATTATGTTTTTAAGTAATTATGATTATAGTAAAATAAATCCAAATAAAACCATACTAATCAGTATAAATTAATACATAAACAAGCAGGGACGAATCTATGTTGAGGAATAGGGTGTCACTTGATCCCATTTAAATATTTGTATTTATGTTAATTTTTTTTAAATAGTAATATAATTGGTAAATTTTAGTCTATTGACCCCATTATGTAAGTGTAAGTGAGGTAATAACTAGTGCAGAAAATAAACGACACAAGAGAATTTTTACGAGGTTCGTTTTCTACTCCTCGGGACCAAGTCCAGAAATCAAATCTACTAGAACCAGAAAGAAAATACAACTTATTTTCAAACGCGTAAATCAAGTACAACTTCTTAATTTACCGCTCTGTTCAATAACATGGANTCTTCAGGATAACCTAATCCTGAGCTAAACTCCCCTTGAGCCTAGACTTGAGTTTTGTGGAACCTCCACACACCAACACGCACGGTTGGCAACGGCACACA